TATAAACATTCAATAACAACATCTAAAAGATGACTAGAACTGCTGCAATTAGATGCAGCTTTATGCATTTGTTGCATAGTCTCGTTGTAAACAACGTATTTCATTGCAGACACGTTGTCACATTCCCTGGATTCCCTTGGAAATACGTATTTTTATTTCCTTTCTTGATGTTAATCCAAAAAAAGCTTTTTATTACGTAGTTGCAGGTATTAAAAGAAAATAAAACTTAGCAGCGGAATAATTTTGCTTATTGAGATTATCAATGCACATAAAAAATTTTATGTTCTTTTCTATTCTGTGATAAATTGTTTTTTAGATTTAACTATTTTTTTTATAAGATTCCCTACTTTTTGTGAAAATATTTTGTTCCTAAAAAGGGTAGTTACTACCTCCCCGCAATTTATATTTGTATACTTATTAATCAGGACGTGAATCATGTATCGCTTGAATAAGTATTTTTTGTACCATTTTGTATCGTTTAAACATACGTGGCATGTCCGGGAACCAAGTACCATTTTGGAAAAACTCGCATAAAAACTTTTTTTCAAAACAAAATTTATTTTTACATGAGAGATCATGTTGGTAGCTATTTTTCTATATGTGGTTATTACCATTGCTTATACATTTTTCATATCGGGAAACCAACTGGTCTATACTCCGTTAAAGAAAGATACCTCCAACAAACAGTTTTTGAAATTTGAGGAAACTCATTATAAAGCAATTTTATTCTGAACCGTCTGTTTCCACAAATTTTCTCATTCACTTTTTCAACCAAGCCATTACTGGTAACAGAAGTCTGCTCACTCCGTGCTTCGTTATGAACATTGATCGATGCATCATTGTGTTGTCGAATCCACTTCCTCACCATTTCATCTCTCATTACATTTTCGCTGTAAATCTCAACAAGTCGACGATGAATTTAAACTGGCATAACATTCCTTGCTTTCAAAAAATGGATTACAGAACGCACTTCATAGTCGACGGGATCGGCATTCATCTTAAACATTTTGAACCCTCACTAACGTGTGTAAAAACAACACAATCCGGCTGTATTACCGTCACTAGACTGACAATCAAACAGAGACATGTGTGTGTGTGTGCAAGTGTTGAACATTAAAACTACCACTACGGTTACGGTAGAACAAAACGGTACTTAGTTTCCGGACACTTCTTGTTGATTGACTGATTGATTGAATATTAACGTCACACTGTTCAGCTACACGAGGGATTTTGGCGACGGACCACGTAATTTTGAACCATGGTCAAGTGGCGTGGACGACACCTGAGCTGGCACCCCCTCTCCTAACTACCACACCACACCAACGGGAGGACGTTTCAGCTCTCGACAGATTTAACGTGCATCGCTGCCCTACACGGCGGTCTTTAGTGGTACTGGGCGGACACTCCTTGTATGTTTTTCCTGTATAATAACTATTGAATGCATAGTGTGTAAAATTAGTAAAATCTTGAGAAGGCATGTAAAAATATTTAACATTTCCTCGACAGAGAGTAAGATGTCGTCCACCCTTGCAAGCTTTTATACCATTCCTCACCCCCTAGAGAACGGCATCACTTACTTTGGGAAGATTCAATTGAAATGTGTGCTTTCGGATTTCTTTCATTCACAACCTGTACTTTATTTTGGAATTGGACACTGTCAATAACAGCTTCATCATTACCATGTAGTTGACTACATTAAAAGCTAGGGGTATAGCCACCACCGTATTAATGATACGGGGCCCCCAATATGTGTAAGAAAATAATCATAAAAGGCTAAAGGCCCGAAATAGGGGCCCTCAAGAAATTTTGATACAGTGCCCACTCAGGATTAATTACACCAGT